GTGCGCTAATACCACGTGTATCCCCTCTTCTGAGGAGTGTCGTACAGGGTATCGCATTGATGTGATCCATATTATAAATAAACCTAGGACCCCCCATCCTTTTTATATTCTCAAGTATTTGTAGAATTATAACTCGTTTTCAAAATTCGCCTTTTAATTATTTTCAAACTCTTGTGTGTTCAAACTTAAATCCCCTACTATTTGAGCCTATATTTGTCTTTCTGCTAATTGTACAAAATTCACAAAACTGTCTGGCTGAGAACTACATTAGTGGATCCTGAGGGGTGCCTAACACCTTCCTCTTGGGATAATTTCAAGCCCTTACCCTATCTCTGGTTATCAAACAAACTTAGAAATGAATCCTATAGATGTCCTAATGCAACTTAAATCATTAGGTAACGACTCTTCAAATGCAAAACCTAGTTCCCAAAAGGAATGATTTGTCCTATACCCAAAATATCATAAACCCGATTTTCCGATGCAAAGAGGGAAAAGGGGGCGCGACAGTTCTCATGGAAGAGCTGGATGTCTACACCACTATAAACCTACCTGGTTTTATGATAGAACACATAAATAAGGTAGCATAATTCAAGGATGGTAATCATGGGATGCCTTACGGGTTCCTCCTCACTAAAGTATTTGAATTTTTCAAAGTCCCTTTGGGAAAAGCTAAGGTGGGAACTCGCAAGAAAACCTTCTCCAAGAACACCCTAGAAGAGTGTGAGTGCATTGATAGAAGTGGAGGGGTTGGCAGCAATTCTACTATCTCTCAACTGATCAACACTCAGTACAGTGCCACTGAAGAGATAAGGAAGCTGAAAGAAAGTAATGCCATTCTCGAAGGTCAACTCAGTCAGGTTCAGGAGGCACCTAGTTCTAACAACTCTCAAAGCACAGAGGTTGCCTGTCTAACAAAAAAAAATGTTGACATCAGGAAATAGGTTGAGGACCTGAAGGAGAGACTGCGCAACGAGCAAGTGTTAGGTGATGCTCGAATGGACATCCTTCTTAGAACCCTTGCATCTTCATCTGGGCCTTCTCCTTCGAGTGCTCCCTAAAAGTTGTTCCCTTCCTAGTGTCAAGTTCCTAGTGTCTGTCCTCTGCTTTAGTCTTAATGATGTTTATGACTAGTACCTTTTTGCTATTTTTATTTTGTGGATGTTTTAGTAATAATGGAACTACTCCCTGCTTAATTTCCAAAAATCAATGAAAGTTTCGTCCTTTTGCTATGTATGCCTTGCTCTTCTGCTCTGTTTTTAGTCATGATTGTGTGCACACATGTGGAATGAGTTAACCAAACTAGAATTATTTTTGCTTATTGCTTGCTACTGATCTTTTTTGTGATGCCAAAAAGAGGAAAAATAATTGAGGGGGAACAAGATGGGAAACAGATTCAGGGGGAATACATGAAATTTGTATGTCATTCTGGTTCTTAGGGGGAACTTCAATTATAAGTTTGTCATCATCAAAAAGAGGAAAATTGATAGGTTATATGTATCCCTATTATGTTTTGATGATCTAACAACTTAATGATAAGAACCAGATAAGGAAACTATTACACATCCTCAAGTACTTAATGAACAACAAGTCTCAAGTCGGGGACGTGGTTCAACTCTTCAGAGTCAAAAGGACAATAGAGGGAACATATGGCCACCAGTTCTATAATTGTAAAGTTGTTGCCTGCACACGCAACAGTGCAAAAATAGTGCAGTAGTCAACTTTATGGGGAATGCCCTTTACCTAACATGTTTGTATCATTCAAGTGATATCACAAATGAATTATTAACATCAAGCAAAGGTAAAACAAAAGTACACTTGCACATTCAAGAATCCATCAAGCATTCTCTCAATTCTGTGTCAATCTTGCAAGTGATTCTCAAGGGCATCAAGATCAAAGAACAACATAATGAAGGACCAGTTTCCTGTATTGAGTCATTACATGTCCTTAGTTGCATTGCACCTTTGATTAAAGCACTTTACTTGTAATTCCTACTTAGCTTAGTTAGAAGCACTTTGTAGGAAATCTTGTAAAATCATAAATCTTGTGTTTGTGTCTTGGCTAGAGTTAGTTGAATTGTAAGCTTTGTAATAGAGTTATAACAAAGGGCTTGTAATAGAGTTGTTACAAGTTAGTGAGGGATTAAGAGGTTAATTCCTAGGTTACAATGATTTGTAATCTATAGTTTGCTTAGTAGTGAAGTTAAAATCCTACAAGGGTAGGTCGTGGTTTTTAATCCCGTGAGCTGAGAATTTTTCACGTAAAATTCCACTGTGTCATTTACTTACTGCAGTGTGTGCGTTCTATGAAAACTTATAGAGAACCTTATTCTCTATATATAGTTTGGTGGACCCTTAATTTCTATCAGAAATATTCTAAATGATGTGAAGCCGACCTCTGCAAAAATCGTACCAACATAATCCAGAAGAAATCGTTTATGGCTGAATCGCTAAACGCCAACAAATTTATGGCAGCAAATGCTTGTGGCAATTTTGGCTCGAGGAAGGAACACTCCTTGCTGGATTCGAATATTATTCATTTCTAATGGGTCCTTATGTCCTATATCTCTTACACTTCTTGTTGTGTATATCGTCTTTAATATTTTCCTCTTTTGGGTGTGGGTTCAGTGGACAAGTGGAGAAAAGGAAGAAGAGAGGACAGCCTTTGATGATATTTAATTTGATTCTTTCACATAAATCTTGCAAGATAAAATTACAAACATTGAGAATATAACCATACAACTTTAATCCCAAATAAAATTCAACATATGGATGGAAAATACATAGCCCAAAAAATTAAACACCAACAGGCAAACAAAAAAATGGAAATTATGGATAGAATGGAACGGAAAAGGGAAGAAAATTTTCAAACAAGGCAAAAATTGGCTTTTAAATTGTCAAAAGATGAGGCAAATATGTGTGCGGTGGTGATGGAGACTTGCAACCTCCATATATAATTTTAATGGCAGCAGTACGTACACATCAATTTACCACTTTAAGTATTGTCAAGTCTCGAACAAATTACATCTTGCTTACACTATTAATGGATAATCTCATGGGTATGGAACTATATATGTCCTTGAAACCTTACACAAAATACATGGAACCCACAGTGATTATTATACTCTTTTTGGTTGTGACAATTCTTCCATGTACCTTCTTTCACGTGAAAGATATTCTCAGATATTCACTATCATAAATGTTCAATGCTGAAGTAGTGATAGCGTAAGAACTCGTCTAGCTAGAGTTCATGTACATGCCATTTATTGTTTACTTGCTCTCATTCTTGTATCTGGATGTTATAGGTTTGTTCGTATGTCATATACCTGCATTTCTTGTCTGAAATTTTGTGTACTGGCGATGTAAAAACAACTATACAATCAGTACATTTCTGATTGGCTCTAAAAGGTTATTGAAGAACGTCTTCCTCAATCCGAGACAGGTCAACAATCGTGGAACGCCCAGGATGGTCGTTATAACGTCTTTTTCGGCAAGATCCAGTGATAAATCTAACATGGAGGATGGTTATTGTGCCTTAAACGACGTGATATAGGCTTTAATTTAAAGAGGGTTTTCATGAAGGATTGTGGGATAGCCCTCCACTTGGACTAGAGATCCTTCCCCTGGCATGCTGTCTTAAATAAAAGGAATGCACATAAAGACATGACAACTTACTCTATATAATTAAGTTACCAACTCATGATGGTCGAAGCTTAAATGGACATCCTTTGATTTATATGTGAAGAGGCTAGCTAGGAGAACCAAGAAAGGATGTAAAAGTTCCTCCAAGAATATACTTTACTCGTCGTAAGTGTATAAAACTTAAACTCATTAAATTCAGCTTACAATTATTGTGAAGAGGCTAGGAGAACTAAGATGTAAAGTTCCTTCAAGAATTTTATCTAGAGAAAATATAAAACCTTAATATGATCCATTATATTTTTGTTCGCTTAGTGTAATTTAACGATAGATCAGAATATTGATGGGAAAGGAAAGAGAGAGGAAAGAGAGGGTTCTCTGAAATGGTGATAGAGATATGGACTTGGGGCGCAAAAATACAAGAAAGACCTGTTTTTGGTAGGGTTCTCTGAAATAAACGAGTTGTTTGTGCTTTTCCAAGTCTCTTCTGCTTCTACTGTTGCTCTATGGTCTCTCTTTTCTTTTCTTTTTTCAACTCCCATGTGGTATAACAAGATGCAGATTTAGGATGGGATTCTCAAGCTATGTATACGTATTCAGAGAAAAATAAAATATATACATACAATAAGATCACGCGAGCGAATGGGCGTATGACTTGGATAAGACTAGATTGATGCTTCTGATCTTTGATGGTGAGAGGAAAGTATAATGGATGGGAAAGGCCTTAGTCCTAATGCATGATACCTGTTGGTGGGCTAAGTGGCAGTCCTACCCTCTCTCTAGGACCCATACCCTAGATTCCTCCCCTCGCCCCTATGACCAAATGTATAAAATATATGAGTTTTAAATTTGTTATCAAAAAATGTATGAATGAACGAATACATGCATGAATACCTGAAAAAGTTGATGAATAAATAAACATAACTGAGATATTGCTGAAGCCTATCTTCAGCACTAATTACGTGGTAACAGAGTAGAAAACGTAGTAAAGAAGCACTTAAATATTCTCGTACGTACATAATGTGTATGGAAATCGAAAAACAAATAAAGTAGGGAAAAAGTCTCGTGAAACTGTATCCCGATCTAATATTACAACTCATTTATATCGATCTATTATCACGACTCATTTGGTATATAGATTTGGTTATGAAATGTTACAACAATATACTTTCTCTGTCCCAATTTATAGTTGCTTTTTATTATTTCGAGTGGTGTCAATCACTTGTATATATACATATTCGTTTAGGAAAATATTTATTCACATGTAAATTTAATGAATTGTTTCGACGAATATTGTGTCAAATGACACATGTCTCCTCATGAAGTTGATAACGTATATAAGCTATCCCTCCGTCAAAAATATAGATGCATCTTAGCTTCCCAAAAACTGACATTGCCAATATTTTATTTTCTCTACGAAACAACTACTATCATTTCTAATATTTTCTCTAGTACTAATTGAATAAAAGTGTTGATCTCTTTATCTCTTCTCTGTTTTCCTCCTCTCAAGTATGATTCAAAGTCACATAACTTTTGGAGTTGTGGCAAAAGTATTCTAGGTCATGACTTGCACTAATGAAATGGCTTTTTTCCCTGCCAATTTCATGCTACATACTCCTCATCAAGACGACCATCAAGACTTCCAAGGTTTGTCAGCATTTTTACTCTTTTTTTTTTTTTTTTTGCCTTTTTTTGTTAAAATTTTAGATGGAGCCTTAAAGCAACGGTAAAGTTGCCTTCGCGTGATCTGTAAGTCATGAATTCGAGTCATGAAATCAGTGGTCAATACTTGTGTCAGGGTAGGCTGCCTATATTCCCTTCAGGATGCTGCCTTCATCGAACCTTATTTTTGAATGTAAAATACTTCGTACACCGAACTGCCTTTTTATTTAAATTTACATTTTATATAAAGGGAGAAGTTCTTTTCTTTTTTTTTTAATTAAGAATTTTATTAATGGTTATTTTGATGCAGGTGTTGGTTCATTTCTAGGGAAAAGAACCATGTCATTTAATGGGATGGAGGCTAATAATAACTGTGAGGAAAATCATGAAGAGGAAGATTTATCTGATGATGGTTTACGTGAGGCAGGTAGGAAGAAGAAAATTAGAAGGCTTAATATGGAACAAGTGAAGACGCTTGAGAAGAACTTTGAGTTAGGGAATAAACTTGAGCCAGAGAGGAAAATGCAGTTGGCTAGAGCTCTTGGCTTACAACCAAGGCAGATTGCCATTTGGTTCCAAAACAGGAGAGCAAGATGGAAAACCAAGCAATTGGAGAAAGACTATGATGTTCTCAAGAGACAGTTTGAAGCTGTCAAGGCAGAAAATGATTCCCTCTTAGCTCACAATCAGAAGCTTCATGCAGAGGTATGGCCAAATCAATGACACTATTTTTTAATTTTTTTTTTTAAAATTGATTATATGTTCCGGTTTATGTGAGACTATTTTTTTTAAATTTTTTTATAAAAAATAATATTTTTTCTATATTTAAAAACAGTTTAGCATTAACCTTCTCCGTGTGACCTATAGGCTATAGGTTACGGGTTCGAGCCATGGAATCAGTCGTTGATGCTTGCATTAGGGTAGGTTGCCTACTTCACATCCTCTTAGGCGTAGCCTTCCCTGGACCCTGCGTGAGTCCGCGGTACTGCTGCCCTTTTTTTTTTTTTTAATATTAACCTTCTCATTTTTCTATTCTAGTGACATAATTTTCAACAAACAGCGTTACATGTTTAAAATCATAATTTTAAATTTTTTAAAACTCTAAGACTAGTCAAACAAGTTTAAATCAAATGAAATGAAGGAAGTAATAACATTTCCAGATTTAAAAAAGACAGCGTAGTTTCTTGGAGCTTTATGGAGAAAAAGGAGTCAATTACTCAAATGGTCACTCAACTATCCCAAATTATCTCCTAAAGTCAATTTACTTTCGTTTGTAACAACAAAGTCATTGAACTATGCCTATTGCATTCAAAAGGTCACTCAACTAGATTTTCCAAATTTTGGATTGCCAAATACCTATTTTACCCTCTAAATTATAAACATTTATCTTCTTTTTATTTTTTTAAAACTTTTTAATTATGATTTTTCCCCTTTTTATCTACATTATGGACTTACCTATAGAATAAGTAAATATTATTTATAAATTAAAAAAATAAAAATTATTTAAGCATATATAATGTTGGAAAATGAGCATAGCAAGAAAAAAATTAATTAGAATAATTTGTTAGTAATAATTATTTTAGTATTAACAACAAAAATTCAAAAAATTATTTACACAATTCAGAATGAAAGAAAATAAAGGTTGTAAGATATATATTCCATGCACGTAATATAAAACAATTATTTAAATAAAGGTATTTTTATAAGATACATTATATATTCTTGAAAATTATGCTCAATTATATTATTATATTTCTACCAACTTTCCGACGACACAAAGTAATGTCACCGAAAAGCAGGGGAACTATCTGTATAGGGTAAAATATGCTATGTTAAAACTTGAAAGACTATAAATCATTGCATAAAGGTAAATTATTACATTCTAATCAGCAAGTATTGGCTATTTATTATTAGGTGAACTTGAACATCTTCATATATTTATTATTCCTTCCATCTTAAATTAGGTGAAATATTTTTCTTTTTACTCTGTTCCAAAATAAATCATTGCATGTTCAATCTAGTCTTGCTTATTTCAATACTCCCTTCGTTTCAATGTATGTGAACCCATTTGACTGGGCACGGAGTTTAAGAAAAGATAGAAGACTTTTGAACTTGTGGTGTAAAATAAGGCACATATAGTTTGTGTGACTATAAATCATTGCATAAAGGTAAATTATTTCCAAATAGGGAAAGAGGTCATTCTTTTTGGTATGAACTAAAAATTAAATAAGTTCACATAAATTGAAACGGGGAAGTAATATTTATGATACTAGTTTTTATCTGCTTTAATGATCACTAGGCTACATATTTGCATGCTTCATTATCAACTTTTCCTAAGATTTATACTGTTAATGTATTATTATTGGTTGGTCCATGAAAATAATAAATAAATTACCTGGCTGCAGATAATGACACTAAAAAATGTAGAGCAGCCAACAGAAATATCAATCAACTTGAACAAGGAAACAGAAGGTTCAAGCAGTAATAGAAGTGAAAACAGCTCAGAAATTATGAAGCTAGATACCTCAATGAGACCAGCAGCCATTGACAGCCCAATATTAGTATCCACTACTCATCAGCCAATTACTAGGTGCAGCAGACTCTTGTTCCCATCCCCAATGAGGCCTAATGGGGTAGCACAGCTCTTTCACTCGTCAAGACAAGAAGTGCTACACTGCAATATGAAATTAATGGACCAAACTGTCAAAGAAGAAACTTTATCCAACATGCTCTCTGCTATTGATGACCAATCACCTGGATTCTGGCCATGGCTTGAGCAACCACATTTCAATTGAATTTTTTCGGGAAAAAAATATACGTATTTACAGAGTTGAGCTTAAATAAAAAGGTGAGAATTTATATAGCTGATCAAAATTTGTTGGGATTGAGACGTAATTATTATTGTCGTTGTTGTGCTGCTTGATGCATTTCGTTAAAATTCGTCACATATGAAGGATTTTAATCATATGAAGATCTTTTTCTCTTTTGGGATCATTTTTTTCTGTTGCACTTTTTTTTTTTGGGTGTATTAGAATGTTGTATAAAGTAATGAAGTGCATACCAATTTGAATATTTAATTAAGAAAGCCTATTTAGATCTTTATGGAGGAAACAATAATATGCATAGAAAAGTGCCATCTTCCTTTTAGGGAGTAAATTATACTACTATAACTTTTCCCGTTTCATTATCTAGGGGGGTATTAGATTGAAATTCTTTTTCTTATAGTTTCTAATTTACAGTTACACAAAGGATTGGGTTCTTGTTTCTCAATCTTTTCCTTTCTCTGATCATTTCATTTCGTGTTAAAACTTAACCATTAAGAGAAAAAAATATGAAGAAATTCTATGTACCAGAAGTTAGTAGAAAGTGTTGCATGAGAATTGGAGAGAGTATGAAGCACACATTTCGAGATTGAGGGAAAGAGGACAAAGAGGTGGACAGTAGAAGAAAACAAGCGGTCGGAAATGGTCATTGTCGTGAAGGGGACGTCTGCAAACTTTGTGCTGACAAGTGACAATGAAAAATGTTACTATCATATATATCTCTCTCTCTCATCCATAAGCACGAAGGAAGGCAAACAGAAAAATGAAGATGCCTAAATCTGCTGTTTAGTTTGTATCCACCACTATGTTTCTTTTTTCGTAGGATGGTTAGTTTATAATCTTTAATCAAATGTCTCGAGCTTAGACTTTGAAAATAAAGAATGTGTTAGTAGAAATATTTTAATTACTTTAATGAGCTTATTTGATGTGAATCTAAAATAGTCAGACTAGCAAATTTCGAAAACAAAATACCTAAAACACTATCTTTGGCATTTCTTTTCTTACTTCCTTTCCTTTCCGTTTGATCTTGGTGTTGTTGCTTTTCTTTTTATCTTTTGTGAGTCGATGGTTTATCGGAAATAGTCTCTTTATCTTTAAGGTGGGAGTAAGGTCTGCATACACACTATCTTTCTTAGGCTCCATTTGTGAAATTACACTGAATTTATTGTCATTGTTGGTATGGTTTCCTTTTCGTTCGATGACAAAGTTCACTACACTCTTCTTCGGGAGCCCCTTCGGCTTTGATGGATAGAAGATAAATTCATTGCAGGAAATGAAGGTACATCATGTGGTCTACTGTCACTCACTGCCTAACATCCATCCAATAGAAGCCTCTTTTTAAATTTTTACAAATGATATATATATGCTTCTATAACCGCAGAAATCTCATGAAAAAAACACATTAATTAGATTAATAAAGAAACACTTGACACATGCCAGCCATTCAGAAACTAGAAGATAATTAGTGCAATAATTCCATGTTATTGACCAGCACATATTACGTACCTTGATGCTATATATTTATACCTCCATATCCACAATAAGGCTACGATTCTGAAACTTCCTATATTAAAATAATCCAACATGCCATGCTAGTGCTTAATCTCCTGAATATACCAGGCATATTTATTTATTTTGCTCCAAAACACTGACTAAGTTTTATGTTTTTCTAGGTGTGAAATCACCCCGTGTACAAATGTAAATGTTGAAAACAAACGAAAGTCAATGCTTAACCATAAGATAACCAAAATTGCAAAGAATAAAAATTGTCCAAGACTAAGAAGTCTAATTTTCCTTCCCAACCGGTGCGCGACTCACCAAAAGTTACAAGGAGAATCTAATAGGGTCACAAGGTTACTTCGTCTGTAACTCTTTATCAAGACAATCCTGATTTTTTCCCCCTCCAATGTCATTTCTTTCTAAATTAGCTGACTTCATTATTTTCTAATTTACTCCCTCCGGTTCAAAATAAGTGATTTTTTAGTTATTTTCACACATATTAAAAAATTTACCTTTTAACATTAATTAACAATTAAATTGACTATATTAACCTTTATTATCTCTTCACATAAATACTCCCAACACATACTCCAATATTAATTACTCCAAGGGCAATGTAGGAAAAAAAGAATTAATTCATTCTTGAAATCTGGAAAAATCACTTATTTTGGACCGGAGGGAGTATTTAATAAGGTCCCCAAAAGAAAAGTAGGAAATCATTAGTCCAAAGGGGTCCAGTACTCTCCAAAATTCCAGGAATTTCAGAAACCATAAGGGGTCGTTTGGTAGGAGGTATTAGAAAAAAATACTGCAAGCATTAGCTTTATGCATTACTAATACCTTGCTTGGTACATTTTTTCAACATGTGTATAACTAATACTTATATTAGTTATACATCATACTTGGTATTATCCTATGCATTAGTAATTGATAATAGGCTATATAGTTGATATTTACACCTTAATATGACCATACTTTGTTGTTGTTTTATAGATAAATTGCCAACAAAATGCTCTAAATAGTGTTCTTTTGTTTAGCAGGGAATATTATATGAGAGGAAGCAACATGGAGTGTTTTGGAGGCGATAATGTAAAGAAAAACACCCATTCGAGAAGTACCCGAACACAAAGAAGTATAAATGGCCTGGACAAGAAGGCCACCGCAACCACCGCGATGAACCACAGTAGATTAACAACGTAAGGCAGAAAGGTCAGCATTCACCGCGATCGACCGCGGTTGGCCGCAACCGCAGTGCACTGTTCACGCTGCTGGAAAGTTTGAGGACCAAAGTGTAAAATCGGGAAAACTTTTGTAAAACCCTTATATGCTTTAGAAACTCGCCCAAGATTGTGCTAAGCTAAATTTAGACTACTTTTGGAGGCAAGAACAAGAGTGAGAAGATCAACCAAACAATAGAGTTTTTCTATCTCCTTTTAATTCTTGCAATTTTACATTATGAACAATTTAGTAGTTTTCTCTTATTTTGTTATGAGTAGCTAAATACTTATCTAGCGTTGATGGAACCAATTATTAGTTGAAGTTTTGACTCAAGTTGTTATAATCGAGCCAGATTTATGATATGATTGTTCAACTACGTTTTGTATGGTGATTAATTGAATGGGCCCTTGATTAATCGTGTCTAATTACCTTATATTACTTGAGAGAGAATATTAGGTTAGATAGTTGTTGAACAACACCACTTTTGGGTAGTTGAAGAGATTTATTACTTGAACTTAAAAGTGGGTTTAGAGATAACAAAACTTTGGTGGGATAATTTAGAGTTGCATAACTATTGTCAGCTAGAGTAGTTCCAGAGAATGCTCTAGTATATTATTGTAGTTGATCGAGAGATAATTACAATAACTCATAACTTAATCCTCATAGAGTATTAAGATGAGATTATAGCAGAAGAGTCAAGACCTAAACTAGCAATTGGGGAAATCACTGCCCTAGACCTTTTTACCATTGAATTATCTTTGTTTTAGCTTACTGTTGTTTTTAATAGTTGTTGAAGTAGTTAAACAAAAACCCAATCTTTATTGATCAAAAATCTTGCATCTAGAGATTGATTGAATTGATAATAATATTGCCGTAGAGTGTAATAGATAGGTTAGTTCCCTGAGGATTCGATTCCGGACTTAAAACCTGATTGTATTTATAGCGACCGCTTTGTCCTTTTAAAGGAATAGTTGGGCGTTATCAAATTTTGGTGCCGTTACCGGGGAACTAATGGTGTTATTTATTACAACTTAGAAGTAGTGTTAAAATTATTAGTTCAAATCAATTTCCAAAGGTGTTAAACAATTTTCATTGAAATTTAACGTTTGAACTCTTGTGGAATTCAGGTGTATGCCTAGAAATTCTTCGAGGACTGGAGAACTGCTTGAAGGACTTTCAGACCCCGAGAAAATATTCAGGGCATTTAACCGTGCCAACAAGAGGATCCAACAATCACAACAACCACACCAGCTTGAAATTGACATGGGTGACGTAGAGAACATCAACGGAAACATCAGGGATGAGCCAGCTGACCCAAACGTCAGAGTGGTGGCAGCTCTTGTGCCAGAAGCTGCACTTTATGATTAGGCTCAACTCACAGCTGACAACCTGGCAACTGCCATAGTTGTGCCCGCAATTCAAGCGGAGACATTCCAGATCACTAACAACATGCTGCGTCTGCTACAGAATAAAGGATTGTTCTCCGGGTCACACATTGAAGACCCTCAGCAACATTTGAAAAACTTTCTGTCAATTTGTGTGACTCAAAGGCAGCCAAATGTGACCCCAAAAGCTATCAAGCTATTACTGTTCTCGTTCTCTATGACTGGGGAAGCGCAGACTTGGCTGAATTTGCTCCCAATCAATTCCATTGTCACCTGGGAGGAATTACTAAAGCGGTTCCTGAATAAGTTCTACCCACCCAACAAGACTGCAAGGCAGATTGATGAAATATTGTTGTACAAGCAGCAGTCGACTTAGACCTTGCAAGAAACTTGGGAAAGATTTAAAGGGATGCTGGTGAAGTGTCCTCACCATGGCATTCCAGACCACATGTTTGGCCAGAGATTCTACATGGGGTTAGCTGACAATCTAAAGGCTAATGTGGATGCTTCAACTGGAGGTGCATTTTTTAGTAAGACATTCACCGAGTGCAAAGTCCTTCTTGACAAGATGTCCTAGAATTTGGGGTGGATGACTAGAGGTACAACACTGGCACCCATAGTGCATTCAGTTCCTCTTGACCCAACTAATTGAATGCAGAGAACATGGCCACACTCATGACTCAGATGAGTATTTTTACAAAGAAGATAGATGAGATGGGTACCAAACATGTGCATATTGTTGACACGACAAATGGAGGACTGTGTACACCTTGTGTTAATCAGTCTTATGTGTGTTCATGGAGCGGAGAAGGTGAAAATCAAGGGGAAAGTGAAGATATGAATTATGTTAACAACTTTGGGGGTTAGAGACAAGGAGGACATCAGTGGAGACTGGTACCAAATCAGCAATACAGACCCAACATGCCTCATCCTGGGGGCATGCAAGTTCAAGGCCAAATGGTGCCATACCACCAGAGACAACAGGGCTACCCACAGCAGAACCAGCAACAGTTGACATATCAGCCACCTCCTCAGCAGCAAGATAACAACATGGTAGAGATCAGAGGGATGCTCCAGCAACTCATTGGGACAAATGGTAAGATGCAAGAAAAGTTGGAAGTACATGATTTAGCTATAAAGAACATTGAAACT